CTTTTTAAAAAAATTAGAATTACACTAATGTCATATATTAACCTAAAGTTTTAACTAATAATTCAGGTGCATCTTCACAACAAATAAAAATATTTTGAAGTAATGAAAATTGTTTCAGTAATAGGCAAAAAGAGCATTTAGTTTTCAAGGATTCTTTGCATTTTGTCAACCTGTCCCTATCTCTATGAATACAATGTTTAAAATGGTTTTTAATTGTTTCATTTTTAATTATAAGCAGTAACGGTTTAGTTAGCTGTGCAATTTTTTAGAGTGGCAATAGCAGAATTTTTCTTAGCATAAATGTAGCATGTTAAAGATAACTTTAATACAATATATAACATAAGTATCGGGTAATATAATGTGAGCAATTTAAATACATTTTGAATTTATTTGTAGCATTTGTGTTTGTATGTACACATCTACAATTTTTATATTAATGTTCCTCATTTCATAGTAACTCATCTATCTTTACTGTAATTATTATTTGCATAAGATTTGCTTTAATATAACAGATAGCTGTACAAATCTTTTTGTTTACGTGTTGAAAGATTGAAGAAATATATTTTTACAAACTTTATGTAACTTGCTATTAAAGAAAAGAGATGATTAATAAATTTAGAAAAATACTTTATTTACTATAGGCATTTTTAATTAAACCCACAAAAAAGTTTTGTTAAAGTAAACAATTATATATTCTCTCCTTTGGCATTTCAAAACAAAGTATAGCATAAACTTCACAAATTTATATTTCCAAATACGTATATGTATTAAAAAAAACTATTTCTAATCTCTTAAGTATTCAGATAATAGTAGAGCAAATATATATTCCAAAATCAACATGTTAGGTGGTATAATAATTTTTCTATATATAATTTATAAATTAATTAGAATATGTATTGATATAAAAGTGAATTATATTTCACATTAATTTAAATAAACTTTAATGGTTTTAACTTTCCTTGGTAATATCACTATTTTAACAGGTCTGTCTTTTCAAGATCAAAAAGCAATTTGCTTTAATGAAATGAAAAGATTTCAGCTGTGTCTATGAAGATTCTCAATCATCCAGGTAGAGTTGTCTGAAGGTTGTCTGAAGTTTGAATCATTGAAACTGGACTAATTTTTTGTTGTTAGTTTGAGAGATGTTTCACTGCCCATCCAGGCAGCTTCCTCAGCCAGAGCAAGGTAGTTGGGCAGTGAGTTGTTGGAATGTACTAACTCCTGCTACACCAAACTCAGGGGTTTCTTTCCCCAAGGGAAGGTAAAGAAATTTTTCAATGCACTTTGGGAAGGAAATCCCTGAGTTTAGTGGGCAGGAGTTGGTACATTCCAATGGCTCTCTGGCCAATTACCTTACTCTAACTGAGGAAGCTGCCTGGATGAAACATCTCTCAAACTAACAACAAAAAATTAGTCCAGTTTCAATGATTCAAACTTCAGACAACCTTTAGATTTCAGCTATGTATTTGAATATTGACATCCATGGAAAAATCAAGAGGGAATATAATATATTTCCTGTTATACTGAATTCAGGTTCTGCTGTAAGTACAAGATTAATAAAGCCAGTAATTTGGAACACAAAATACCTTACAAAAAAGTTAAACATGCCTTAACCAAGAGGTTTTGATTTTGGGAACCTATGAAACATTATAAACTATTGATCTATGGCAGTGATTGCTAACCTTTTTGCCATCATGTGCCAGAAGCAGGGGGGGTGCGGCGTGTGCCCACACCCATAAGTCACGCGCACATGGCCCTCCCCCGTGCATGTGCGCATGACCCTCCCCCCGCTCCTGGCCCCCAATGGCACGGTAGGCCCGTTTTTTGCTGTCCTCAGCCTCCATAGCCTTTCTAGGAGTCTGGGGAGGGTGAAAACGGCCTTCCCCACTCTCCCAGAGGCCCTCTGGAGTCCGAAAACGGCCCACTTGCCAACTTCCGGTCCCAGAAATTGGCTGTTTCTGGCTTCCGGAGAGCCTCTGGGGAGTGGGGGTGGGGAAGGCCGTTTTCACCTTCCCCAGACTCCTAGAAAGGCTATGGAGGCTGGGGAGAGAGAAAAATGGGCCTTTCCCACCACCCTCTGAGGTCCTCTGGAGGGAGGAAACAGCCTGTTTCCCTACTTCTGGTGGGCCCAGAAGGCGTGAAAATCAGCTGGCATGCACCGGAGATGAGCTTGCGTGCCCACCAATATGGCTACGTGTGCCACCTGTAGCACACGTGCAATAGGTTTGCCATCACAGATCTGTGGAATACAGATTATATCACTGGAAGGATGGGACAGAAAATTAAAAGCTGATCAAAGTGGCTTGCTCAAATCTCTAGCAGCTGATAGTATAAATCCTGGAAGTGGGAATGATAATAATACCACAATAATACCTGGAACCTTTCTGAAAGTTACTGAATTTTAAGCAGGGTGTAATTAAAGGGGAGGCACTCTTTTTTCCTTTCTCAAGACTCTCAGTACTTTTTGCTATATATAGAACAATCAGCTCCAAAACAGAATTCTTAACTGTTATTTAGTGTACCACAGGTAGACTTCAGTGAGTTGAGGTTTCCTGCCTTTGCATGGAAAAAAAAGTAGAGGTTTCTGAATCTCATGGATTTAGCAAAAATTATTGTGTACTCTAAATGGTGTGTATCAATACCATAGCATAGCCTATAAAAATTAAGAAAAAATTTCTTCTAAGTACTATCATCTTTTCAATGAAAGAAAATTACATAATCCCTGCTCATGGAAATAACTGATGTAATAAATATTACACATGAAAGTGTATAGCTAACTATATGTGTCCTGTATTTTAATAGACAATTTAACCGTCCACTTTCTTCTTTATAATCATTTTTTAGATACGTTGCATGAAGCATTAAAGTTTTCAGGAGGCACAGAAACAATCCAGATTAGTTTTGAAGATTACATTCCTGGTCCTGCTTGAATCTCCTTTGAAATTTGAGGAATTTCTCAACCTTCTTAATGCCGCGACCCATTAATACAGTTCCTTACGTTGTGGTGACCCCCAACCAGGGGTGGGTTCTAAAATTTTTTACTATTGGTTCTGTGGGCGTGGCTTATTATGTGGGTGTGGCTTGGAGGTCATGTGACGGTGGGCGTGGCTAGCTGGTCATGTGACTGGGTGGCCATGGCTATGTGTATAGGACTACTCAGAGGCTGAAAAAAGTCATTTCTGACAGATCTTTGCACTTTTGACTGGTCCTCACACTTATGACCATCCTCACATTTATGCTCGTGCAGCATTCTTAATAACCATGTCACTCATTTCACAACTGCTTCTCTTCACCATGGTGATAAGATAGGGCAAAAAACGTAAAATGTGAGAACAGTCGTAAATTCGAGGACTGGTCAAAAGTGCGAGGACCAGTCAAAAATAACTTTTTCAGCCCTCTGAGTAGTCCTTGTGCATAAAAGGATACAGCAATAGAGAGGGATGAAGGAAGGGAAGGGAAATTAGAGTAGGAGTGAGGGTAAGAGAGGGAGGAAGAGAGGAGGAGAAGGAGAAAGGAAGAGGAAGGAGGAAGGAGAAGAAGCGGGGGGAGAGAAAGTAAGAAGGAAAGAAAAGAGAGAGGTGGTAGGTTTGAGGAGAAAGATTGCTGTACAATAAAAAAGATGAAAGAGAAGAAAACCAACCCCAAACAAATATAAAGATATTAAGATAAAGAATGAATTGTTAAACTTTAAAGAATAAAAGAGAACAAATATGAATAAATAGCAATAATTAGAAACATACATACAAACATACAATGTATTTTCTTTGAACAGAGTATTTGGCCGGTTAACAAATTTAACCAGTGTTTAGTCATTTCAATTAAATTTACATTTTCTATATTTTCTTTTTGCCATATTTATTCCTCATTTATTTTTTTAAAAAACCAATATTACCCTTCATCCTCATCTCTAATCTTAATCAAATTCAATTTTTCCCTTCTATTCTATATTATACCCCTTTCCATTGTCATCTATTTTTATATCCATCCTCACATTGGTTAATTATGTAATTATGTAATACAGTTGTTTAATACAAATTCAACATTTTAATATAAATCAATTAGTTATATAACTATCTTTTTTGTATATCAATCAATATGAACATGAATATTCCAATTATTTCCATGCAATCCAATTTCTTACAAATCAATTAATTATATTTACCAATAATAATAAACCAAATAATTTCCCCCATATATTCCTCCAAACCACAACTTAACCATTTCTGCTTTCAACACAATATACAATTAATAGTATCTCAATTATTACAATTCCTTAGTTAAATAGAGCTTTTTTTCTTTTGTGTTTTAAAATCTTGAACCTCCTCTTTTGCCCTAAATTTCTCATTGTTTCCAGTTTTGCACCTACCTTTTTTGGTGAGCAAAAAGAAAAAGAAATCTCTCTCTGCCTCATTTTGTCACGTTGCAGCAAAGACCCTGTTTTACTTTCAGTTTCATTTTTCAGCATAGCTAGGGGAAAAAAAATCTGCTCCTCTCTTTGCAGCTAGCAACGGAGCCCTCCGCAAAACAGCTGAGAGCAAATCAGCTGAGAGTCCGGAGGCTGATCAAATCAACTTATGGTAATTAACCTATGCTGAAGCTGAAAGGGGCTGTTTTTTTTCTATTTTTGCAGGCACCGGTCTTCTCATTTGTTTTCTTTTAACACTGATCAGCTGTAGGGCGGCCCTTTGAAGCCCCGCGGCAAGAATTTAAACGGTTTGTTTCCCTCTAGCCATCAGCTGGGACTCAGGAGGCAGCAATAGATTGGGAGTGGGTGGGGTAAGCGACCGGCGACCGGCGATCCAACAGAGGCAGAGGGTGAGGGTGAGTGAAGGCATGGGGGGGCGAGAGAGGGCTTTGGCAACCCCTGTGAAATGGCCATTCGACCCCCAAAGGGGTCATGACCCCCAGGTTGAGAACCGCTGCTTTAGAGTTAGGGGAAAGGAGCAAAATGAAAAAAAAGAAATAAAAAGAAATCCTACAGACAGCATTTTGTGTCATACCTTCTTTTTATATCTTGTCATAGGAAGGACTTTCAGCAGGCATTTTCCAGCCCTCTGCTCCTGCAATCCACCTCTGGGTTCTCTTCTTCCTCGCTTCCTATTGACTGGGTGATTCTTTTCAACTGTCTCTCCGTGCTGTGGCCACGCCCACCTTCCCATGATGCACCAGTCTTTTCACTCAGTCACTGACTGACTGGTGTGCATTTCTCTTCGTGCTCAAATTTTTGGTCTATTTAGCAGTCTTGCGTTAGGTTTTTTATTTATTTTTCTTAGTATTTTTGTTTCTTCGGTGAGAGCCTCTGTCGGTGAGCTGCGGGCGAGAGTTACGTGCCTGGGGATACAGCCCATCCTCCGCCCAGGAAAAATTTTCTTTTGACAGCAGCTCGGGCTACCGGCCCTTCGGGGCGGTTCCCTCTCTTCCTCCTAGCCGCCGGTGTGGTGAGCGGGGGTTTGCGTTTGTCGCATTCCCTTCCCCACGCCAATTACTATTTAAATTTGAATTTGGCTCTCTTAGGGCGGCTCCGGAGTGCTCCGCAAGGTTTGCCCTGCGGCCTCTGAGGTATTCTGTCATTTCCCACCGCTGCGCTCTGATCGTCTGAATTTGAAGTTGCCGCTCGGGGTTTCAGCTGCCCCGCCAGCGTCGGCGACTTCGTTACAGCCTGTAGCGCCTTGGAGAGCGTCGGCTTCAACGGTGGTGAGATTCGCTGACGTCCGTCCTTCGGGCGGCGTCCGGGGAAAGTTGTTCTTGGCCCGTTTGAACTGTTATTTCAGCCGTCTGTGCTGCCGCCAGACGTTTCACGGCCGCCATTTTGTGACTTCTTTTTTGGCGGCGAAAAGTAACGGGCGCCATTTTGTGACTTCCTTTGGCGGCGAAAATTAACGGGTGCCATTTTGGGGCTGCAAAGTAGTCCATTAAGGGCCGTTGTTGCTGTGAGCCTGTCAGCATCTTGGCCTCAGGGTCCAGCCGTCTGGCATCTTGTGAATTAGAGGCTGGACGTTATCTGGTATTTTTTCCCTAAACGCCCTTGTCAGCCTTTGTCTCTCCTGTCAAGGATAGCTTGGCTGGGCTGTCTTTAGGCTACCCTCGCAGTTAGGGGTGCCTAGGTGTATATAGTTCAGTTCGTTCTTGTTTATATTAAAAAAAAAAAAAAAAAGAAAGACGATAACTATCATAAATATTATTTTTCAGTACCTTTTTCACTAGAAAAACCTAAAATAATAATAATAATAATAATAATAATAATAATAATAATAATAATAATAATAAATAAATATTTTCGAATTTATCAATAATGGCGGATGCCTATTTTTCATTGGATGAGGAGCATGAGCCTAGCCCCCCTAGGGTTCCGGCCAAGCACAAGTCCAAATCTCGCAGCAGGGTTGTATCTGCTTCTGAGGACTCCGCCAGCCTAGATCATCGGCAGCGGCGGATAAAGATGCGCAACGATGCCACAGAGTTTTGGAGCGCCAATATGACAAGGCCAGACAGGCCACCTTGGCCTCAGTTTTTCCAACGGGCCAGGCTACAGCACCTTTGACTTCTTCACCCGGCAGAGCCCAGGCGCCTGATCCGCCACAACCAAGTCCTTCTGGACGCCTGTCCAAAAGAGCTTCAATCTCCTTACCTGATGTTTCATCGGTGGGCTTGCTCCACCCTGCTCCCCCGCCTACTTCTCGTCCTGAGGCGACTTTTACACCAACCGCCGCTGGACTGCGCGGGACTGATGGACAATTATCGTCTTCCCAGATGGACTTGCAGTTTTTGCTGTCTAATGCCTTGTCCTCCCTGTGGGCCGCAGGAATTCAACAACCGCCCATGCCGCTGGCTCCGACGGTTCCTCATCAGAGGCCTCAGCCTCCTATGGCACCAACTCAGAGGCCCTCCCACCATTTGGCACCCGATTCTTCGGATGATTCTGATTATGGGGATAATGCGGTCGAGGACTTAGAATTTTCAGAGGATGAGGGCCTCACCCCTGATGTTCCTGCCTTTACGGGGCTGTTCAGGCCCTCATTGTTCAAATCTCTTCTACATAAGGCACGTCAGATCACAAACATGTCTGTTTCTTCGTCTGCAACATCTGAGACCGCGTCCACGTCGACCCCACACGAGGCCTTGTTCTCATCTTCCAAACCGGGCAGGGACTTCATCCCCTGTCCTCAACTTTTTTCTGACGTGCTGCAATCTCCTTGGTCTCAATCTGCTTCGTCCACGGGCCCCAATAGCATTGATAAAAAATTGTATTGTGCGGCACCAGAACTGGACGCCATGCTCTCTGTACCTGTGGTGGACACTCCCATTGCCAACCTATCCTCCTCGTCCTTACTGTCAACGGATGCACTGGACGGATTGAAATCGGAGGACAGGAAGTCTGAGCTTTCCTTTCGTAAAGAACATCAAGCCCTGGCATGGGCAATCAAAACCGCGACCGCCACTTCCTTTTTCAACCGAGCGACGCTGCTTTGGCTGAGGCAACTTCAGGATAGGCTACCACCAGAAGACACACGTCTCCACCAAGACATAAACAAAATTGTTGCAGCGACGGAATATTCGGCCGACGCTTCCTTGAATTCTGTGAAGTTTACGTCCAGGGCTTTGGCCTCGTCTATTACGTCCCGTCGTTTATTTTGGCTTAGGAACTGGAGGGCCGATGCCAAAGCTAAGTGGCGCTTGGCGGCAGCGCCCTACAAGGCTCCGAATCTGTTCGGCTCCGCTCTTGATCCTGTTCTTATCGAGGATAAGGACAAGAGGAAGATTATGCCGACTTCCTCATATCGCAGGCCTGAGAGACGTTATACGCCTTATTATCAAAGACAGTCCTTTCGGGCGACTTCCGGGTCAGGAGGTGCCTATTCGCAACGTCCACAATTCTTTGGCTCCGACCGTTCCTCAGATCGCCAGCGGTTTCGTGACAGAGCCAGGAACCCCTCCAGTCCCAAGCGCCCCTTTCGAGGAGCCGGATACCGTCAATTCTGCAGGGGGAAATGACTGCGAGTCACGGGATCCCATTGGCGGTCGTCTACAACTTTTCCACCATCAATGGGAGCAGTCGACCTCGGACTCTTGGATCCTTCATACGGTGTCTTCCGGCCTGTCGATCGAGTTCCTGGGATGTCCGCCTTCTCGACATATTTGCTGCCCTGTGCCACGTTCTCCCGAACAGGGCCGCTTGCTACAGGAGTTTGCCATTTACTCAACATCAGAGCAATAGAGAGGGTCCCACCGGAACAACATGGTTTGGGATTCTATTCGACGCTCTTTCTCGTCCCGAAACATTCCGGGGGTTGTCGGGCCATCTTGAACTTGAAACAACTAAACCTTTTCATTTGCTATCGCAGATTCAAGATGCACTCCCTGGGGTCCATCTTGGGGGGGGGGTTCGTCGTGGCGACCTCCTTCAATCGGTCGACCTCAGGGAGGCATATCTGCATGTCCCAGTGTCTCCTTCACACAGGAAGTTTCTGCGCTTTCAAATTGGGGACGATCATTATCAATATTGCGCAATGCCCTTTGGTTTATCCTCCGCCCCAAGAACCTTCACAAAATTAGTGGCTGTAGTGGCGGCGTCACTCCGAAAGATCCCGGTGCGGGTACTCTGTTACCTCGACGACATCCTGGTGTTGTCATCGTCCAGGAGTCAGGCAGCTCGAGACCTTCATCTTGTCATCATGGCCTTCCAGAATCACGGATTCTCAATAAATTTTCCCAAGAGTTACCTTTACCCGTCCACATCACTGCTGCACTTGGGGGCGGTGATAGATTCTATTCGGGGCCAGGTTTTTTCTATCTCCAGACAGGATCTCGAGTCTTCAAGACCTGATACGTCAAGTTCTGTCTCATCGCTCCATCCCCCTTCTCCAGCTGTCACAACTGCTGGGGAAGATGGTGTCGTGCTTCTCAATTGTTCCATGGGCACGACGTCACGCGAGGCCATTGCAATGGTTTCTGCTCCCTTACCAGCGCTCGGGATGCAGCGATTCCCTTCACAAAGTATACCTTCCACCTCAACTTCGGCTGTCGTTTCAGTGGTGGATGGGATCGGCCGTGCGCAAGGGCTCGCACTTTCTGATTCAACACAGAATGACTCTAACTTCGGACGCCAGCCTTCGCGGCTGGGGAGCCCACCTTCAACATCAGGTGGTGCAAGGTCATTGGTCCATTCCAGAAAGAGGCCACAACATCAATCTGTTGGAACTCAGAGCAATCCGCCTGGCCCTCAAACATTTTCAATCGCAGTTGGAGGGTCACCACGTCCTTGTGCTCATGGACAACATTGCAGCCAAGGCCCATGTAAACAAAGAAGGCGGGACTCATTCGAGGTCTCTGATGTTAGAAGCGGAGAGTCTATTCCGGTGGGCGGAATGCCACCTTCTTTCTTTGAGAGCCGATCACATCTCCGGCGTAGACAACGTGCGGGCAGACTGGCTCAGCAGACAAAGTCTCGATCACTCAGAATGGCAGCTGCATCCGAGGCTCTTTCACGAAGCCATCCTTCTATTCGGCACGCCTGTCGTGGACTTGTTCGCCAGTCCGTCGAATGCCCAACTTCCACTCTATGTGACTCGTTACCCTTGCCAGTCGGCGATGGATCATGACGCGCTGCGTTGCTGCTGGCCCCCGGGGCTTTTGTACGCCTTTCCCCCAATTCCCTTGATTCCTCAGGTAATTCGGAGGCTCTTGGAGGAAAGGGCCGAAATGATCCTGGTGGCTCCCAACTGGCCTCGTCGACAGTGGTACGCAGATCTTGTGGCCTTATCGTCTCGTCCACCATGGCTGATTCCACGAGACCGCATCGCCCTACGCCAAGGGGTCATCGACCACCCAGAGCCAGAATGGCTCCAATTGGCCGTTTGGCGTTTGAGCGGCTTATATTGCGAAAGGACCGACTGCCCGGCTCCGTCATAAGTACGATTCAAGCTTCTCGTAGGCCGTCAACTTCACGGATATACGACTCTTCCTGGAGGGCTTTCTGTCGCTGGTGTGCGGCCAACCTGGTAGACCCTACTTCAGCCCAGATAGAGGACGTTCTGTGTTTTCTACAATCCGGCTTAGACAAAGGGTTGTCACCATCTACCCTTCGTCGTCAGACGGCTGCATTATCTACGGTCATTCGGTGTCCCCCATACTCGTCTTTGTCTATGCATCCGTTACTTAAGGGATTTCTTCATGGAGCAGTAAACCTATGCCCACCTGTCGTTCATAGGTACCCGATCTGGGACCTTTCCCTTGTTCTTCAGACCTTGATGTACCCTCCTTTTGAACCTTTGGGGTCTATTCCTTTAAAGTTTTTGTCTTTCAAGTTGACCTTTCTTTTGGCGATCACTTCTGCCAGACGGGTGTCTGAGCTTTCCGCCCTATCGATTAGAAAAGATCTCTGTATTTTTCAACCTAATACAGTAATACTACGTCTGGACCCAGCATTCTTACCTAAAGTGAACTCATATTTTCATCGGGCTCAGGAGCTTATCCTTCCGGATTTTTGCCCGTCACCGAAACATCAACGCGAAAAAGACTGGCATACCCTTGATGTGCGTAGGGCTCTACGTTGTTATATTCGCAGGACTGAATCCATCCGTAAAACTGAGGCTCTTCTGGTGTCGTTTCATCCACCTTCCTTGGGCCAAAAGATCTCTTCATCCACAGTGGGCAGGTGGATTAAGACATGCATAGCTACAGCTTACAAGCAACGTTCTCGTCCTGTGCCGAGTCGCATCTTACCTCACTCTACTTGTAGTGCGGCAGCGTCGGCCGCCTGGGCTACGCAGGCTTCAGTTTCAGACATATATCGGGCCGCTACTTGGTCTTCGGTGACACCCTTCATCAGACATTACCGAATTGATACGTATGCTTCGGCCGAAGCATCTTTTGGGCGACGTGTTCTCCAAAGTGTTCTTGAGGTCCAGGAGGCTGAGTCCAAGTAGTTTTCCCCCCCTGGGATTTGAACTTTGGTATATCCCAGAGGTGGATTGCAGGAGCAGAGGGCTGGAAAACGAACGTTGTCTTACCTGAACGTTCCTTTTCAGCTCTCTGCGACTGCAATCCACACCCGCCCTGTTGGTTTCTGATTTCTTGTGTTTTTTACGGGTTCCAGAGTTTTGAAGTTTATATGGCTTGTTCTGAAATTTTGATTTGTCTACTAGGTGGTCACGCCTTCGTTCAAAGACTGGTGCATCATGGGAAGGTGGGCGTGGCCACAGCACGGAGAGACAGTTGAAAAGAATCACCCAGTCAATAGGAAGCGAGGAAGAAGAGAACCCAGAGGTGGATTGCAGTCGCAGAGAGCTGAAAAGGAACGTTCAGGTAAGACAACGTTCGTTCCCAGATCATCCAAATTGGTTGGACTGAATCTATCTGGGAAAGGTGTTTTTTTTTAAATACCATATAATATAGGGCTTTATAGGTAATGACAATACCTTGAGCTGTACTTAAAAATACTAATAACCACTGCAGTTTCTGAATGATATAATGTAGGCATACCAAGACTGCTCAGTATGCACTTAAGCTGCTGCATTTTAGACTAGCTGAAGTCTCTAGTGATCCTCAAGGGAAGTCCCATATAGAGTGAGTTGGAAGTCTAGTAATCCAGTTATGAGATTAGAAAGATATTTGTGAGTGTCCTCAATGTATCAGAAGGTACATCAGAATGGAGGCAAAGGCCCTCTGGGTCAAAGCTTCTGTTTCCTCTTTCTGAGAAAGCACAATCCCATTGAAAATCAGTTGGTATTATTATGGAATCCACAGGCTTCTGAATTATTAGTCATTCCATTTTGCTTGAGTCTAAATCTGTTTCTCTTTGAGTTCTAACAGTGTCCAGGCACTGAGAAAGGATTTCTATTGCATCCTCTATTTTTTTGATGACATACACCAATGGTACATCATTTTCTAAACATTCTTTTAAAGATTATAACAATGTACATTTCAGTTCTTTCAACCACATATAGCTCCAGCTGTATATTATAACCAAAATTTTTATCCCACTTTATCATACTTGACTTGGAATGGTATGTGAGAAAGACCTTGAGAAACAAGGTGAGAGATGCTGCTCAGGGAACAATCTGATAAGAAAGGATACAGTCTGCAGCAGCCTAATGGGTGGGGAAAGAGGCTCAGAACCCTAACTTTTCAAAGACTGTAAAGAAAATGGCAAGAGATTTGTACTGTCAGATTTGCAAGTTTCTGTCTTATAATAAAGTAGAAGTAGCTCAAATGGTCTAGTTAGGAAGCTCACACTTGTTCTTCTGTTTCAAATTTCAATGGAAGTTTATACATTTTAGAAATTGCATTTTTACATAATTGCATTTCAGACTCAGTCTTACAGTGTTCAAAACCATAAACTCTTGTCTGTTTTAAATCTTTCTAATAACTGTAAATAAAGCCATTGGCAAGTACATAATCAGATTTTGTCTTGATTCTATGTTATATTCCCATATGTGTTTGCCTATTGTCTATAAAATGCTTCTTGTGCTGAGAGCTACAAAGATATTTTTAGATACAACCTGGATATGTATTTATTCCATATTCTCAATATGGTATATCTAACATAATGATTTTTTTACTAAAATAAAAAATAGAAAAGGAAGTATTGTAAAGAAATAAATAAAAAGACTTGATTTTCATCTTCATAACAAGCATAAACAATTTTACCTCCTCTTAAAATACAACAAAAGATGTCTTCTTTTCATATCTTTTATTTATAAATAAATCAATAAAACTTTGTTTAGTCCTGGTCAGCAGAACTCAAATAATATCCTAGAACTAGATTTCTTCTAATTTTTTCTTTGCCTTGTCTCACAAAATTTTTCAAAACTGTAAGAAATCTCTTTGGTAAATTCAGTATAAGAAAATTATCCAGGTCACTTTTTTGGTTTGTTGATATCATGTGGTTTCATTTGTGTACGCAGTGTAGGATATCCTTCCACATCATTTCTGTTTTTCATCAGTTTTAAATTTACTTTCAAATCAGTTTCAGTCCTATCCAGTAAAACGTGATCTTTCTCCATATAATTTTCCCATGATATAATGGCAGACACTCTTAAAATTAACTTTTGGATATTTATTCACAAATATCTTTCAATATGTCCAATGCATTCAGTCATTCTACATCTAGTCATTTCATGGTTGGACTATTGCAATACGTTCTACATGGAGCTATCCTTGAAGAATAGCTCCATGTAGAGTGTATTGCAATATTCCATCTTCTGAAATATTGTGCTTCCCAAGGTGAAATCTACACCCACCCTTTTGGCCTGACTGCCAACTAGCCTGGGACCACAAAAGGGAAGTGACATCCTGGAGTTGGTTAATAAATTAGCAATAGCAAAAGGATTTAGATTTATATAATACTCCGGAGTGCTTTACAGCACCCTTTGAAAAGTTTACATTATCAGTATATTGCCCTCAACAATCTGGATCTCCATTTTACTGACCTCGGAAGGATGGAAGGCCGAGTCAACCTTGAGCCAATCTAGATCAAATTCCTGGCAGTGAGCAGAGTTAACTTTCCAAAATCAGTGTTCTAATTGCCTTTTTGCAGTTTATTCCAAAAAGATAGATTTTTAAAAATCCTTAATGTCCTTCTTTCACTAAGGACTGAAGCGTAGTAAAACTTGCTGTTATGGAGTTTCCTAATATCTGAAAAATAGTTAACAAGCAATTTCTGAAATGATGAAGGAAGTATGTGGACTCAGAGTTTATAAAGGTGCCGACTGCATTTTGGTCAAAGATGATAATCTCTTGTCTTCCAGAGCAATAAACCTGCTAGAGATCAGTGTTTTACAGTCTCCTTATTGGGAATAACTGTCTGGGGCACGTGTGGGTGATCCCAAGTCCTTTCCTTATCCAGAGAAGAATCCCAAAAATTCTTGTCTATTTAGGCCAAAGTAATTTCTTTACAAACTAATCCTAACAGTTATATTATCATGTTTGTTATCAGTACTATGATATCACAGGGTCTTAAAATTGTGTTTGTGTTTGTGTGAATTAGAGAAATTGTTATTACTTTCTGTTTTTCATGACTGTGAGGTCTAAGGTCTATGAACAATTCATATTTTATTTAAGTTGTAAAAAGAAGAGATAAAGGTCTGATAAATGAAGTCTTGTGAAGAGAGATTGAAGAGATGGGTATATTTAATCTTGAGAAAAGATAACTGAGACAGATTATAACAGTGCTTTCAAATGTCTTAAAACTGTCCATATTGTCCACCATTCCAGAATTTTTTAAAAATATGTTTTTATTATAGATGATGGCAAAGATGACAGTTATATGGTATTAATATACAGTATATCTAGGGTAGTCCTTTAAGATGTTACTAAATCTGGACTATATAGAGACATATTTCTCCATCTTCCCATTTTTAAAATATAATGATATTTCAAAAAGCAACTCAACTGTTGAACACATTCTTTGACAGTTCAAGCTTGTTTTCTTTATATCTATGCTGTTTAATTAATTTTGCTGAGTTCTAGGCTCAAATCAGGCATTGATTCTATATTTCTGGAATTTAATTCAGCATCCATTTACAACTTTAATTATTTTTATTTCCCAAGGAGACATACAACTTCAGGGTTGTTTTATTAGATAAGATTATCTGATGCTAAATATAACAGGGATGTCAAACTTGCATCGTCACGATGTTGTCATGTGATGTATTGCGACTTCCCCCCCTTTGCTAAAATGGTGGGCGTGGCCAGCACGTGATGCATCCGGCCCGCGGGCCACAAGTTTGACACCCCCTATCTTACTCATCATCAGGGCTAGATACAATGAGTCAGAGCATCATTAAATCTTCTACAATGTGCCCCTCCAAACATTTTTTAAAACTTTTTTTGGGGGGTGCAATAAACACAGAGCAAAACCTGATGAACTTACTTCATCCTTTGCTCATAAAAAGTATATTTAACATCTCTTAAAACTTGTTTCACACAATACACACACACACCCCATGCCTGTGAAGCTGCTGGAGCATCTGAATCATGTTGTTCATACTGTCAGGGAAATAATTCTAAATTACATTCAAAACTTAAATTCTTAAATAATTACTACTAACCAATTGATTCAATATATTAATCACTTAATTGGCCCAGAAGTTCCAAGGTCCATTTTCTGTGACCTTCAAATTAGATTTACTTTACAGTGTCAGTTTCTCATGTAAATCTAGCTGAAAGTTTAACTGCTTCCTAATTCATGCCCAGTTATGTCTAGCTGGAGGAATCAGACATTGTTCATTATAAATTGACCCAAGAATTTTTCCAGAATTTCAGACATGTTTATTCTTAAAATGGGCCCTAAAAGGGTAATAATAGCTTTTAAAATTCATTACACATCAATATAAATGTTAAAATAAAAGCCAAATGATAAAGTTGAAAATCTGGTGAATTTAATTCATCATCCTCATAAGACAACTTCTCTTTAGCTGGAAAAGATTGGGAACTTATTCTCACATAAAAATCTTTAATATTTTACCAATCTCTGCCAAATTCAGATCATAAAAACTTTCTAAAAACTATTGTTTTCTAAAAGACTGAATAAATAAAAAGAAAAATGCTACAGATATATAATATCTATAAATTGACAAAATAATTACTAAGATTGTACAGTTAGTATTCAGAGTATTTTAGATATTAATCATATAAAACATTAAATTATTTTAACAATGTAAGTATTTAAAACTCTGAGCTAAGTGCTTGAATTCTTCACTATTGTTTAAAAATGTAAAAAGAAAAAACCCACTGAAAAAATATAGATAAATATTATTCAATCCTTATAATTCAGAACAATCTAGGGGTTCAAAGATAATTTTGACCAATGAGTTAATCCATTAAGTAAGCAATGGTTTAAATCCATATAAGTATTTAGACAATTTTAATTCAACATTTTGAGGTATTTGAGGAGAAATATAAAGTGTAAAACCCACTGTAAGTTAAAATGAAAGAGAATATATATAGCCCAAGGCTGAACTGTGGATTGTTGATATTTTCTGAGCTCAGAGAGCACCAAAGACCCCATAATCTGAGGTTATTTATAATCCCAGTGGAAGCAAATTATATTTCTTCCAATTAATGATATATCCTAAATATTGTACAATTTCACTACTTAGTTACTATATTATATTTGTGTTTTTGTGCAGGGATGAGAATTACAAGTCAAAATAGATGAGGAATTGGTAAGGGAACACATATTTGTTTTGAATGAATTTAAATCCCTGGAACTGATGGTTTTCATTCTAGAATGCTAAAGTAATTGATGGATGTGATCTTAGAACCACTGGCTGTAATTTTTGAAAATTCATGGAAACAATTATGAGCCAAAAGATTAGAGAAGGTGTAGTAACTATTTTTAAAAAGGAAGAAAAAGTGGAGATAGGAAACTACAGACTAATTCCCTTGAGATCAGTACCTGGAAAAATTCTAGAAAAGAGTAACAAGGGAACAAAGTGATTACTAGAAGCCATCATAATTAGCAGATCAATTGAGGTCCATTATCAGAAATAAAATATTTAGGGAAGTACTATGGAAGAGATTCAGAAAAAAATGTGAACACGGAAAACCCCAAAATAATAGCACTTAGCAATAGCGCTTAGATTTATATACCGCTTAATAGTGCTTTTACAGCCCTCTCTAAGCGGTTTACAGAGTCAGCATATTGCCCCCAACAATCTGGGTCCACATTTTACTGACCTCAGAAGGATGGAAGGCTGAGTCAACCATGAGCTAGTGAGATTTGAACTGCCAAATTGCAGCTGGTAGTCAGATGAAGTAGCCTGCAATACTGCACTCTAACCACTGCGCCACCTTAGTTCTCTACTAATAGCAGAACAATAGGTGAAACTTGGATTATAATAATTGGAAATAAGGAAACATCTTATTATGAACAACAAAAATGATAAATTAGAAGAAATAAAAAAACAAAACAAACCAGCACTGAAACAACCTATGAACTGACCCTCCATCATGAAGATTTAAGAGAAAATTATGGCATATACAGAATTACCAGCGGAAAGACAAAGACTGGCAGCATTGAAAGTAGCGCTACACACACACACACACACACACACACACACCAGTGGTGAAATCTAAAATTTGTTACTACCGGTTCTGTGGGCGTGGCTTGGTGAGGGTGTGTGATGTGACTGGGTGGGCGTGGCTATTTTTTTTAAACTTTTAAAACCATTTTTTCTACAACCTCTTCAGTGAAGAGGTTGTAAAAAAATGCTTTCAAAAGGCTCTGACAATCCCAGCTGAGTTGCCTGATCAGCAGAGACTTTTTTTCTTTTAAATGCCTCTGACGATCAGGCAACTCAGTTTGGATCGTCAGAGGCATTTAAAAGAAAAAGAAAGGTTTTTTTCTTTTAAATGCCTCTGACAATCAGGCAACTCAGCTTGGATCATCAGAGGCATTTAAAAGAAAAAAAGGGTTTTTTCTTTTAAAAGCCTTTGATGATCCCAGCTGAGCTGCGCGATCATCAGAGGCTTTTTTTTTTTTACTTTTAAAAGCATTTTTTCGGCCGAAGAGGTTGTAGAAAAAATGCTTTTAAAAATTAAAAAAAAAGCCTCTGATGATTGTGCGGCTCAGCTGGGCATGGGGGGGCAGGGATTTTTGCTACCGGTTCTCCGAACCACCCGCATCCATCGCTACCGGATCGGGCGATCTGGTCTGAACCGGGAGCATTTCACCCCTGACACACACACACACACAAATATATTCTTCATCTAGACCAAAAATCTGGTATGTTATTCCAAATTGGATTCTTAGACTTAAACCTGGTGCAAGGTAGATAGTTTAATATTTTGTGTATCAGTATATATCTAGTAATTGATAGTCTGTTTATCTTATTCCCCTCTCAGCTATGTGATGACTAAGTCAAGTCAAGCTTATTCCTCTCTCAAACTGTTTGTTGTTGTCACCTAAGATCAAGAGGGAAAGAAAAAAAGAATGAAAATGGAGCCATGAGAGTGGTGTGGATTTAAGGATTCCAGATACTATTCTCACTGGATTATTAAAATGAAAATCAATTGTGTTGGTATGAAATCTTCTTCCCCATACAGGTGTGCAGTGTTCGGTGACACAGTAAATGAAATGGTTGTAGACTTTAGGAGGAACCCTTCCATACTTCCACCTTTCACAATACTAGACAACACAGTATCAACAGTAGAGACCTTCAAATTTCTAGGTTCTACCATATCGCAAGATCTAAAACGGACAGCTAACATCAAAAATGTCATCAAAAAAGCACAACAAAGAATGTTCTTTCTGCACCAACTCAGAAAGCTCAAACTGCCTAAGGAGCTGCTGATCCATTTCTACATAGGAATTATTGAGTCTGTCATCTGCACCTCTATAACTGTCTGGTTTGGCTCTGCAACCCAACAAGACAGACACAGACTTCAGAGGATAATTAGAACTGCTACCAACCTGCCTTCCATTGAGGACCTGTATATTGCACGAGTCAAAAGAGGGCTGTGAAAATATTTACAGACCCCTCACATCCTGGACATAAACTGTTTCAACTCCTACCCTCAAAACGACACTATAGAGCACTGCACACCAGAACAACTAGACACAAGAACGTTTTTTCCCCGAATGCCATCACTCTGCTAAACAAATAATTTCCTCAACACTGTCAACTATTTACTAAGTCTGCACTACTATTAATCTTCTCATTGTTCCCACCACCCATCTCTTTCCACTTATGACTGTATGACTGTAATTTTGTTGCTTGTATCCTTATGATTTATATTGATATTGTTTCCTGATTGCTTATTTGCACCCTATGACTATCATTAAGTGTTGTACCTTATGATTCTTGATGAAAATATCTTTTCTTTTATGTACACTGAGAGCATATGCACCAAGACAAATTCCTTGTGTGTCCAATCACACTTGGCCAATAAAAAATTCTATTCTAAACAAGTTTTATTGGTTTTTTCTCCTCTCCCACATTCACCCACATCTTCTTTTTTTCTGAACAGAGTGTTGGCCGTTTCTTATTTTATACAATTAATCAAATTCAAATACATTTTACTCAATTACAATTCTTGCCAAAATCGTCTCCCCCCCTCTTTTTTAAACATATCTCAATATTTCTATACTTGCATACATAAGCACCATCTTCATTTGTCCCTAAATTCTAACTTTACTGCATATTTATTCTCTTTTATTCTTAAACAGTTCATTCTTTAATATATTTATATTTGTTTGTTCGGTGCTGCCTTTCTTCCACTTCATCTTTTTTATCGTACCCTCTCCCTCTTCCCTATCCCTTCCTACTTTCTTTCCCCATCCTCTTCTTCTCTTCTCTACTTCCCCTTCCCTTCTCCTTCTCCTCCTCTCTTCCCCCTTGTCTTACCTTCTCTCCTACTCTAATTTTCCTTCCCTTCCTTCCTCCCTACTCTTCCATCCCTCTCTCTCCTTCTTCCTCCCTTCCACCTCTCTTCTCCTTTATCTCTCTCTATTGCTGTATTCATTTTCAATTTAATATTTTCCACTCTGGAGTCCAAGCAGCCCTGATCCCTTGTCCTTTTAATTATTAACAGTATATTTCATCTTGTTTCCTTTTTTCCTTCAGATCTTTACTCAATCTTCTAATCCTTTGTCTTTTTACTTTTACCCATGTACTTTTTCTGCTTTACTTCTTGCAAATATAACATTTAAATCATTTTTATCATTTCAATTTCATTCAGTTTTACATTCAATTTCAATTACTGCATATATTTCTCAAAATATCTTAACAATATATTTCCACTTATTCAAATATATATTTATAGAGTGCATCTTAATCATTTCTCATTTTACCCAATCCAATTGGTTCTTAAAATATTCTTAATTTGCCTTCTTTTCTCTTTTTGATTGTTTCCAATACACAGTTTGAAATATTCCAATTATTGCATTTCCCTCAACAAGTTTATTCATATTATTAAAACCTATCATTCTATAGACCTCCAATCTTATTAAGCATATGATATTTATTGCAGTTTCTCCAGTTTTCAGTAGAGCATATTTAAAACTTAAAATATAGAGTATGTCTTATTCCCTTTATTTCATACAACTCTATATTCCCCTTATTTTAAAATCACTTAATTAATATCACTGTTTTATCTTTTTTTCTGACATTAAACTCATCTATTAAATTTTACAGTTCTATTAAGTTTTACAGTATTTTCATTTCTTTCTGTCTTTTTGTCTTTCTCCTTTTCTGCCCTATATTTCCCATTGTTTCTGCTTTTCCTTTCCTTTTCATTGTTAATCCCAATGTACTTATTTTGTGTTTTAAAATCATTAAATCTTTGCCCTTTATTTCCCATTGTTTTCCATCCCTTTTCCCTCTTTCTCATATTTCCACTGTAAATCCCAGTGTAATCATTTATGTTTTTAATATTTTTTCTTCTCCTCCACCCTCTTTTCTTTCTTTGCCTTTTCTTTTTTCCTTCTTCTTCCTTTCTTTTGTATTTTAGAATTCTGCACTCTCCTATTCTGCCCTATATTTCCCATTGTTTTGCCTTTCTCTTTCCTTTTATGTGTCTTTTATTGTTAATCCCAGTATACTTATTTTGTATTTTAAAATCATAAAATCTTTAATTTTGTCCTTTATTTCCTGTTATTCTCCATCTCTTTTCCCTCTTTCCTATATTTCCACTGTAAATCCCAGTGTAATCATTTAAATTTTTTATATTTTTCCTATTCCACCCTCTTTTCTTTTTTGTTTCTTTTCTTTTTGTCCATACTTAATATTACAATTGTTAAATTTTCCATAGTCAATCTCTTTGTCTTTATCTTCTTTGTTATCCATCTCTCTTTCTTGTTTCTCATTGGTCCTTTCCTTTTCATCTTCAGTGCATTCTAGCTCAGTCTTTACATCCTCGAATTTTGATTTTCCATGCAAATGAATAATCATATCCTTTATTTCTAAACACATTGTCCTTAGTTCTCGCCAGTTATCGTTTTAAAAGTTCAAGGTTTATTTTTTTTCCTTGATTCTTCAAAGATTTCCTCAAAACAGACAATTCCATGTCATGCTCTTCTTTCTCCTACAGATGTCTCTCTATAATCCACTGTTCCAGTGAGCTAATTAACAAATCGCCATTTTATTTGTAATCCACATCCGTTTTTACTGAGACAAAAAAGAGAAAAAGCCAGTTTTCCCGTTCTTCTTTCACTTTTATATACAACCAATCAGTTTGCAATTCAATCCAAATTAGATCCAAGTTCCAAATTTACATTTCCATTTATCAATCACTTTTAATTCTTTGGTTGGGATTCTTCTATGGCGCGCTTGTCATTCCCACTTTCTCTCTCCATCCGCCATCTCCCCCCGTTGCTATTTAGCCACTATTTCCATGCCGGGGTAATTTTAATAATTTAAATATTTGAAGTTCTTTTTATTGTCTATGAATGGCCAATCACTCACCCAGCACCAACACTCTGTCCAAATCTTCCCTCCTGCACATCGTTTGCTCCAGAGGCTCCATCTTCATGGCGATTCACCCTGATCGCCACCCCTGTCATTGGATCGAAGAGTTTCTCGGGCTATCCAAGGAACTTGTCTGTCCCTCTTTAGCCACCGAGCTGCCTCTCCTTCTTCACTGTCCCTATAGGACAGTTTTGGTCCGAAGACTTCATCTGGCTGGATGCCAGTGACTGTTCGTCTGGCTGGATTTCGCCAAGCTCGTCGGAGCCCAGCATTTTCCCAGCCAGTCACGCCATGCCGCTTCCAGATTTTCTATTCTATTCTATTCTATTCTATTCTATTCTATTCTATTCTATTCTATTCTATTCTATTCTATTCTAATTGTGCCACTATATGCAATGTCTTTGCTTGAACTCCCCAGCCTGTTCCTGCAATTTTCCTAATTAAATTATTCCCAGTTTTCAATTTTTGTCCAATTAATTCAAAGTGTTTTCCAAATATAAGGGATCAGCCAAAGATTATTCCAAGACAGTTGGCAGTTGTGTTTTATCCTCTTGCCACAGCAATATACATTTAACTGTTTCTTTGCTGTACAATTGCTTAGATGGAAGGCACATACTTAGATTTTATTTATGTTAGGGTACAATCCCCAGTTTTCATGATATTGGCTTAGGTTTTTAATGCAAGGATTAAAATAGCATCTATCAAGCATCTATCAAGCTTGCCTGCCATACAGCAACATGGTTATAGATGAACTGGCTGTTAAAATTAGAAAATCAAAACCAAAATCATATTCAACCCCACAGTGGAAGATCAGACTAGAGGCCAGGATAAAGAAATTAAGATCAGATGCAAGTATTGTGAACAATATGCAAGACTGAAAAATGAAAAGTAAAAGTGCTACACTCAATTTGCCAACAAATTTGGAAAACTCAATAGTGGCCATAGGATTGGAAAAGGTCAGTTTACATTCCAATTCCAAAGAAGGGCAATGCCAAAGAATGTTCCACCTACCACACCATTGCACTCATTTCACATGCTAGTAAAGTTATGCTCAAAATCCTACAAGTTAGGCTCCAGCAGTATGTGGATCGAGAACTACCAGAAGTACAGGCAGGATTTTGAAGAGGCAGAGGAACTAGAGATCAAATTGCCAACATACCCTGGATCATGGAGAAAGCTAGGAGTTCCAGAAAAACATCTACTTCTGCTTCATTGACTATGCTAAAGCCTTTGACTGTATGGATCACGACAAATTGTTGCAAGTTCTTAAAGAGATGGGAGTACCAGACCATCTTATTCGTTTCTTGAGAAACCTATATGCGGGTCAAGAAGCAACTGAGAATTTGACACGGAATCACTGATTGGTTCAAAATTGGGAAAGAAGTTCGGCAAGCTGTATACTGTTGCCCTGCCTATTTAACTTACATGCAGAGGACATCATGAGAAAGGTGGGGCTAGATGAATCACAAGTTGGAATTAAGATTTCCGGGAGAAATATCAACAACATCAGATATGCAGATTATATTATCTAATGGCAGAAAGTGAAGAGGAACTCAAGAGACTCTTGATGCGGGTAAAGGAAGAAAATCCAAAAGTTGGCTTGAAACTCAACATTAAGAAAACTAAGATCATGGCATCCGGCCCTCTCAATTCCTGGCAAATAGATGGGGAAGAAATGGAGGTAGTGACAGATTTTATTTTTCTGGGCTCCAAGATGACCGCAGATGGGGACTAAAACCAAGAAATTAAAAGGCGTTTGCTCCTGGGGAGGAAAGCTGTCTAGCAAATCTAGACAGCATACTAAAAAGCAGACACATCGCCCTGCCAACAAAAGTGCGTATAGTCAAGGCTATGGTTTTCCCAGTTGCAATGTATGGCTGTGAAAGTTGGACCATAAGGAAGGATGAGCGCCAAAGAATTGAGGCCTTTGAACTATGGTGCTGGAGAAGATCCTGCAAGTCCCTTGGACTGCAAGGCGATCAAACCGGTCAGTCCTAGAGGAGTTCAACCCTGACTGCTCTTTAGAAGGCCAGATCCTGAAGATGAAACTCAAATACTTTGGCCACCTAATGAGAAGGAAGGACTCACGAGAAGAGCCTAATGCTGGGAACAATTGAGGGCAAAAGAAGAATGGGACGATGGAGAATGAGGTGGCTAGATGGAGTCACTGAAGCAGTCAGTGTGGGCTTAAATGGACTACGTGGGATGGTACAGAACAGGAAGGCCTGGAGGAACGTTGTCCATGGGGCCACAATGGGTCGACATGCGACTTCATGACTAACAACAACAATGCTTAAACTACTCACAGGCATAGTGGGCAACATCCAAGATTATATTAGAAGAAAATAACATCCTTCCAGTAGAACAGAAAGAAAATAAAAGTATAGTAGTATAGTATAGCCTTTATTGTCATTGTACATCATATATACAAACAAAATTGGTTTAGCCTCTCTGGTGCAATCCATAACAGAAAATACAAAACAGAAGGAAAAA